TTATAGCCGTGAGGAATGTGTCTAAACCGTCATTTTCGAATTATCCGAGTCCGGAGCTCGCCCTGGACTCGGCCGATCGCTGATCCGATGGCGATGGCGAATACCGATACGACGCCAAGTGGCGCGAAGGTAAAACGGGTAGCACAGCGGAATAAACCGCGCGTCATTGACGCGAGAACATCGAGTGCGATAATTCGGATTACGGGTTGTTGTCTCTCTTTAAACGGGAACGGCGGTGATGGTATAAAATCCGGGATTCCGCGGGACTACGATACGCTCGGTGTAGAGCGGCCATAAACCGGCCTTGTGCAACCGAGTGCGGTTCACGTGCCCGCGACGTTCTTTCCCCTCTCTTCCCTTTTCTTTCCCCCCTCTTTGAGGGGGACGTGAGTACGCGGCGTAAGTCCTTGTCGTATCTCTGTCGACGATTAAACTCATCGTCGTCTCTAACGCATGGCACAAAAGACCTCTGCGATTTGCGGCAGGTGACGTTCGAAACAACGGCGCACCGCAGTTCCAGGGCGTTTAATTCTCCCCGTGGCTCGAATTGTATATAGCTCCCCGATATACAGATGTGTCCACGAATGTTTGTTGAGGCGAAAGGAGAGAGAGAGAGAGAGAGAGAGAGATGTATATATACATGTATATTTGCCTCATTACGGTCTTCGGAAGTTATAACGACAAAAGTTGTTCGCTCCTCCTTTGAATATTCCCGAGTATCATCACGTGGACTGGCACAAGCCATTCGAGTCAGGCCGCAATTCTCACGTTAATATTCGCGCGACAAATAATATCGAGATGTCGAGAGAATTTCAAGGCCACGCGCACAAACTCGGCTATGCGTTTGGGCGTACGAAATACGTGTCCAAACGGAGATGGGGTCATCTCCGTTGTGATGCTAAACGCTTAAATATGATCTTTGAAATTTCACGGACGCCGTCGATCGACATCGAGTGCGACGTTATTAGTGGCGACGATTATTTTTCGTCGCTGCAGGGTAAGGTTTTAATTAGGCCTCGGTCTAATTCCCCGCGTCGATAACGGGAGGCGAGCCCGTTCATTAGTAGAGAGAAAGAGCGAGAAAGGCGTAGAGTGTGGCGTACGACGATACGAGGTTCGCGGCTCTGCAGCAGACGCATATTCAGCCGTTCCTGAAATATCGCGAACATCCTCCACCGGAACTCGCGGCGAGAACCGGCGTGAAGGGACGGGTGAGATTCTCACGCGAGACGGAATCGTGTGTGCGGGAGATTCTTGATCTTTCACGTAGCGCTCCGTCGGTCTTAAACCCGATCTAGTCTCTCGTCTCTATATCTAACGTGATCGGAGCGAAGCGATACTTGGTAAAGGACTGATTCGGAGTGGAATTTTTTTTTTATTCGTCCTCATCTGTGTGTTTTTGCAGTGAAATTTTGCCGCTAAACTCAATTTCCGTTGCAGTTTATTACGCTATGTTATAATATCGCTTAGAATTAGGATGAACTTGACTTAGTGGTGCTTGTCCACCATCCGTGGAAGTTGCTCCGCGAGAGATTAACGCGGCCGATTAACGCGGCGATACCGCGTCGTCTGTCGCGAAGAAACAAACCACTCTTGGCCGGGAACGACTGACGCGCGACGTTTCGTTCCGCGACTGTCGCACACCGCCGTCTTGCCGCACGCCATTAGACACGCAGTGGGGTATACGCTCTCGACATGTCACGGAGTTTATTACCTAACGCAGCGAGCGGCGATGGGTTCTCCGAGCGCGTCCCTCGTTTCTTACGTAACCGAGAGAGGACAGGTGTGGACGCGAGAGGCGTTCTCGCGCGGCTTCTTCGCGCGCGAGACCGCGCTCTCCCGTCCCGTCCCTTCCGGCGCGCGCGACACGGCATCCGCGAGGGACCTCCAGAGATGCGTCGCCGAAATATTGCGCGACCATGCAGTTTCGCGATTGGCTCAACAGAAGAATGCCGGCGAGGCGTGATCGAACGGATAATGACGTGAATCGCGCGAGCGAACGTTTCTAAATTATTATGTAATAGATCGCAGTGTCATGCAGAAATGATAATTGAGAGCGTAACCGTCGACAGAGATGAGATGATAGAGAGAGAGAGAGATGGAGTTAGAAGAGAGTAGGGGAAAAGGAGGAGGAAAAAACACGATAGAGAATGACCAAGGAAGAGAGATCGAGAGGTGACACGCACACACATACACGCGCATACACGCATGCACACTCACACGGAGAAAATATTATACAAACGCGAATACATAGACAACATAAAAAAGGAGAATCCAAGGTTGCGGTGACGTACGTCATGCATTTATGCATCGACAGAAACGTTACACATCTAATCTCATCATATAAATTTCATAAACTCGGACCGCTCTCTTTTCCATCACGATCTTAGGAAACAGTACGGAATTTATTTATTTATTCTTATTGTGTACTTGGTTATACATTAGTTGATACGGTCCGTTAGACTTTCGGCTGTTTCCGAGACTTACCTCCGACTGTCTTTTTTTTTTGACATGTAAAACGAGGAAAAACGCAAAAGAGAGAAAGATTATTCGCTTCGGTGTGGCAAATGTTACAAAATTGATAATTGATAAACTAATTGTAAGATTTTTAATCAACGTTGAATATTAAACGGCCTCATTTTTAAGTCGAGCAAAAATCTAAGATACAGAAGATGGCAATCTTAATGTTTTTTATACTCCTCTACAGTTTTTTCTTTTATTTTTTAATAATTAAAAAAAGGCCCTTGACCTCGGCAATCGGAAGTAATAATCTTTGCGTCTTGAGGTTCCTTCCTCTCCTCCCTCCCCCCTCATGACAAATCGCGGGTGCCGTTATGGGGGCTTTAATTGCAAATCGCTCGCGTTTAATTACGGGGCATCGATAGTCCCTTCCCAGGCGGGCTTTGTTACTCTGTTGTTTGTTACTCTGTTTGGTCGGGCACGACGCGGGATTTATACGAATGCAATACACGGAACACGAGCGAAACCGTGCGCGCGCGCGCGCGTGCGAGAATTTTGCAATTAAATACCGTTTAATTCCACGTCGGCAGAGGAGAGCGCGGCGATTATCCTCGCCGCAAACGCGGTCTTCGCTCCCGGGCAGCCTGTCATTACTATCATTTACATCACCTCAAGGATCTCCCCTTGTATGTCTCACTCGTAATTCCTTTTTATTCGCACATCGTATGTAATACGTGCGTTATCGTTTCACCCATGCCCTGCATATTCTCGAGCTGCACCTCGAGCTTGTATCCTCTCGCGCGACCGTGTGTCTCGGGGCCGCAGGAACGAATCGAGCGCTTTGCTTTTTAAAGTGTTCTATTTATTGGAGCACAACAAAGTAAATCAAAAGTATTTCTAGTTTAAGTCAAAAGTCATACGAAGAATGTCCTCTAATTCTACATCGCGTTTTACAACTTTTGTTGGATTTTACACTCCCTGATGGCGCACTCCCGGAACTGGGATTAATCGACCTCTCGCTTCATGTGGCGTTTATCTGCGATTATCAGTGTTAAAGAGAGAGTTCGCGTAGTTCTTATATTTTTCTTTAGAAATAAGTGAGAACATTTCCTCGAGTTTACTTAATTAATTCGAAATTTTTTACGCTCATAAAAGAGGACGCGCGTTCTCCTAGCTGTTTTAACGCACGAATGTCTTCTACCTCGTTCATTTAAATTGCAGAATTGGTTATCACGTAATTCTGAAGTATTGATGTATGTTTGACGTAACGGAATCTTTCGATTCGAGTCCGCCGGATATAATATCGACAAGTTAAATACACTGTTGCTGCAGTAAGTCGCGTCGATCAGTTTACTTCTGCGGTTTCCTCGTCTTATAGCGTATTCGGTCGGACGCACTAGTAGGTATGCACTCAGTGCTGTTTAAAACCGTTGGACACCGAAAGAAAAAAAATGGTGACAATTACGATAATTTAACTATAATGTATAGTGTCATTTTCGACGTCAACTGTATATTTGTTTAGTAGAATTCTAAATATTATTATTATTACAAAAATTATAGGAATAATAACTATAAAAATGGGATGGCTAACTATAATTATTTTACCATGCAATTATAGTTGCAAATACCAAACACTTTTCTCTCAGTACTCAAATTGACGTAAAAATGTATGTTTAATAGATATAATTATCAAACCAGGTTAAATGAAATTCTTAAAAGTACTTATACTTTATTTGGTAAAATATGTATTGGGCATTTTATTGTTCGAAATATTTCACTTTTGACATTGAGATTAGAACAGCGTATAACGGCATTAATACGCATTGAGTGTATCCAATCGAATTCGCTATTATTTTACGCATCTGATCCGCGCGCGGCGGCGGAAGAACGGGACGCGTAATCTCGCGCGCCACTCGCAAAATTTCTTCGTCGTCGAGGCTTTACGCAGCAAATTCCAGCCGGATTCTTTTTCCTCGCGGACAACCCACTTCCGGCGTGTTGCACGATGCGACGCGACGCAGACTGGAGCCGGATTTGATCAGAGAGAGGCGGAATGTCTGCACGAATGCGTAAATTCGCGGAGAGAATTTTAATTTTTATTCACGCATTCGTAAAATTCCAATAAATCAATTGGCGCGTATGCATGCATTATTATTTAAAAATAAAAGAGAGATATCTAATAAATGTTATTTAAATGCAATACGAGAATTTAATGAATCCGAATATAAATTTTGAATTTAATAAATTTAATAAAAAAAAGAGTTGTACATATTTCGATTTAATAAGTGTATCATATTAATATAATATAAATTTAATAAATCAAAATATAAATTTCGAATTTAGTAAATTCTACTGGAGGATTTTCTTTCGTGTAGTCGTGATGAGGAAAATCCACATTGATCTCGATAGGATGAGCCGATAGGTCACGATTGTGCTTTCGAGAAAGACCGCGGGTTCGCGTAACGCGCGATGCCTCTGTCTCATTCCGTGCAATTCGCTGCTCTATGAAAATAATGCAGTCATTATTTACGCTTTTGCAGGCCTAGCCCGGGCGGTGTCGGCGACAACGGCGTTCAGGGTGTTCGCGGCAAGGGTCTGCCGCACGTGATTTACTGCCGACTCTGGCGCTGGCCGGACCTGCAGTCGCACCACGAGCTGAGGGCGATCGAGCACTGCGAGTACGCCTTCACCCAGAAGCGCGACGAGGTCTGCGTGAACCCTTACCATTATCAACGAATACAAACGCCAGGTACGCGCGTGGCAGCCAGATGCATTAGAAACCTTTATTACCGTTCTAGAGTACCTCTAAAATTAGATAAGTGACGTAACGGTTATATGAATTAAATATTATTATTATTAGTTTAGCAATTTATTAATCCGTTTGTAAAGAAACTGCGACTAACACTAGAAAACGGCCGCAAAATTAAATTCTGTTGTATTTAACCTGTATAGAATAACGGACGCACCAGTAAGTTTACTTGCGCAAAAGTTGGGGAAATAAACTACTTGTTTATAGCGAAGGGATCAAATTTATACCAACTTCCTCTCTGTGAGGGAGAAAGGGCGATCATCGGTATCCGTTTTGCTCGAATTACATTTTCTCTTTTTCTCTCTCTTTCCCTCCTTTCTTTCTCTCTCTCTCTCTCTTTCTCTCTATTTCCGTTCCTCTTTCTCGGGAGAGGGCTGCTAATCGGCCGTTACGACCGTAAGCATAGCGAGACTAGATCGCGTGACTATATCGCGGCGCACGAAACTTTTGCAGTTTTGCCGGCCATTCTCGTGCCGCGGCACAACCTAGCCAGCGACGAGAACACCGTCCTCTACAACACCTCCCTCGAGGAGCTGAGCGTCAGCGTGCCGGAGAACACGAGCTTCCACGCGACGCTGAACCACCAGCACAATCAGCAGCAGGGCATACCGCAGTCCCCGCAGCAGCAGCAGCAGCAACAGCAGCAGCAACCAAATAATCCGTACCAAGGAATGCAGGTCGGTAGCTGGAATGGATCATATTAGCAAGTTGATTTGCCCGAGGTCAATTTGATTCCCCATGTGGAAGAACTTTTTTTTGTCACTTTTATATTTTCTCATTGTCTGTCGTTATGAATACATCATAAATAAATATAATAAATAATATATTATTTATTTGGTATATAAAATATATATGTAAACGTTGCGATTTCTAATTAATTGTATGGCCCCATGCACGACCAATATATCTCGTGATACCGATTTTTACATAAATTATGTAAGTAAATAGTGTATAATACCCTGTATAATGAGACAACGGCGCTGACTCAGTTTCGGAAATATGACGCCATGGATTATTTATGTTTAGAGCATGCAAGCAACGAGTCCGGCGAGTGTCGGGAGCCTGGGAAGCGTGCAGGGCTCGCCTCATCCCGCCCCAGGATCCATGGATCCGCCAGCAGACACGCCACCGCCGGGCTACATCAGCGAGGACGGCGACAATATGGACCACAACGATAACATGTCCCTGTCACGCTTGTCGCCCAGCCCTGTGGACGCGCAGCCGGTTATGTATTGCGAGCCCGCGTTTTGGTGAGTGCCAGGCTGATTAATGGACAACGCGCGTGGTATATCGCACCCTCCTAAACACATAATCACAGGAAAACGCGCGTTGTACGTTTGTCCGCGAGACGATTTCGGTCGCGCGGGAGCTTCCAGGGTTCTCCAGGGATTTCCCGAACGGGACGATGACGAAGTTACAAAACACAGATTCTCCCTTCTCCCTTTGAATAGGTTAATATTGACGTGAAATAAATCAGATAAGAGATCTACATTAATGAAAGAATATTAAAGAGCGGAAATTGAACCGACAAATTAATTTATGTAATACCCGCGAGACTCTCTTCTCTCTTGATCCTCTTTGTCGCGTCATGTGTGCCACTCACAATATACTTTCGCTTTGCTTACCAGGTGTTCAATTAGTTATTACGAGCTAAACACGAGAGTGGGCGAGACGTTTCACGCGTCGCAGCCGAGTATAACCGTGGACGGTTTCACCGATCCAAGCAACTCGGAGCGCTTCTGCCTCGGCTTGCTGTCCAATGTGAATCGCAACACGGTGGTGGAGCAGACCAGGCGACACATCGGCAAGGGCGTCAGGCTGTACTACATCGGCGGCGAGGTGTTCGCCGAGTGTCTGTCCGACTCGAGTATCTTCGTGCAGAGTCCGAACTGCAATCAGCGTTACGGCTGGCATCCGGCCACCGTTTGCAAAATACCGCCAGGTAAGCGAAGAAACTTGCCTCCTTCAATACATGCATACATATTTGTCTCTTTTTTTTTTAATGCGATACCACGCTTTTTTTTATTTTTTCCTCCTTTTCCTCTTGAAAATAAAATTCCTTCAATTTATTTAATCATAAGTTTGTCCAAGCTCTTTCCGTTGAATTTGTGTAAGCGTGTTAGTATAGAGATCGTTAAAAATTAATAAATTATCTGTTTCACGTTAACTCTTACTGGCCCTTATTTTTTCTTGTTTAACGTTTTTTATTTGAACAAAACAATGACTACTTAAATAAATCATCATTTTTTGTTAATCATTCTCGGAACCGATGTTAAATTTATTTTGTTGGTATGCAGGATGTAATCTGAAGATCTTCAACAACCAGGAATTCGCGGCGTTGCTGTCGCAATCGGTGTCGCAGGGCTTCGAAGCGGTGTACCAGCTGACGCGTATGTGCACGATCCGGATGAGCTTCGTGAAGGGCTGGGGCGCGGAATACCGCCGGCAGACGGTCACCTCGACCCCCTGCTGGATCGAGCTGCATTTAAACGGGCCGTTGCAGTGGCTCGACAGAGTACTCACGCAGATGGGCTCGCCCCGCCTACCCTGTTCCTCGATGTCCTAAGTCTTTGTATCCTCCATTCGTTCGTCCGTGAGAAAAGAACACGTGGGAATACCCTTCGATGACCTGTCGTCGTCGTCATCGTCGTCGTCGTTGTCGTCGTCAACGATCAAATCGATCAATTGATCCATTTCGTTTCTTCGTCGCATATGTGAAAGTTGAATCCGGTGTTCAGATTTTCCTCGAACGAACGCCGCATGCAAGAAGAAGACGTACGATCTTTGCGCTCGAAGATGTAGTCAGCAGTTGGAAGAATCAAGGCACGGCGACACCAAGTTTTCTTCGCGCCGCAGCAGTGGCTTTTTCGAATTGTCGCGCGATCAACCACGAAGCGAATTGTGTGAAAGAACGCGGAATGAAGGACTGCGAAATTGAAAAACGGCGACTTGCTCGTGCATAAATATCATAGTAGATATATTAAAGTTTGATGTCCTACAACGGTTTCGTTTGTGATCGAAGGGAGGAGACACGGTGGCGCGCAAGGACACGCGAAACACGAGACACGCGGAGCTTCGCCTCGACGCACTTTATATCGCGCGCATGTGCACCGCAATTGGCGTACAAGATATATCCAGGGTGATCATAATCCGAGTTTAGTCGATTCGTAAAATAAGGAACAAAAAGAAAACGAGAGAGAGAATGATATTTATATATATTATATATATATATATGTATATATGTATACCGTGCGCTAACAGAGCTCAGTCTTTTACATATTTTTATTGCTTATTCCAAGGCAGACACAGTTACTATAGTCGTACTATACAGTATACGCCAGATCTTTACCAGATATAATATACATTATACATATATAATATATTATGTATGTGTGTGTGTGTGTGTGTGTTGACTTTACTAGCCCATCATAGTGGAGACAGTTCCACTTGAATATTCTATATCCACACGACACGAAGCGCGCGCGCGCGCACACACACACACACACACATGTATATATACATACATGTATATATGTCATGTTTTACGATATTTGTTATGGAAGATTACGATAGCATATACGGCGGGCATACCGAAAATTGTTTGCGTCATATAAGATTTTCCAATTGCAACATAATATTGTCTATTTAAAATCGATATATATATATATATATATATATATATATACATATATATATATATATATATGTACATATATCAGGAATATATTGATATGTATTTTCTAGTAAATTAACAATATATACGCGCTATACGACTCACTCGGACTGTGTACATTTAACGCGATTGCTTAGGAATTTAGCACAATGAGTATATTCACCCTGTTGTTATGTATATTTTCTTTAATAACAGACGTAGACGTTTTTTTTTTAAAAAAATGCAAGATTTATGCATGGAGAAATCTTTTAATATATATACATATTATTTAATATATTTTAATTCGTATATTGTATTTTTTTTTTTTTTTTACTCTTTTAGATCTCTTGGACCAAATGAATAAATTTTGCCTTGTCGAACGGTACAGGTAACAGTACATGTATCTAAATTATTATTACGAGTACCCAAAGTGTGTCTTCTTATCCTCTCTTATTGTTTCCGGACGGAATACTTGGAAAAACTTATCCTCGCGTTAGCTCTCGCGATTCTGAAACCATTGTCTGCCATTGGTATATTTGCTTTGAATATTATTAGGGATTTATAGTTTTTCCTACCTATTATACAGTTATCGCGAAAAGTTAGAATTACCAATTGTGACATTGAATCGCTTTAATCTTTAAAATTCTGGATATTCCTCGAGTTTTGAGTCTTCTAACACTTTTCTCCTGCATTTCGATTGGCAGTTCACGGTAACTTCCTTGAGTAACTCCCGAATGCGAATGCGAAGCGCTCTCACCTTGAAAGGAAAACTCCAAGTCCCATGCGAGTTCAGTCCTTTGTTGTTTACAGAACTGTACACAAGCAAAGTATTGCCGCCGAAACGTAAGAGGCCGAGTTATAATGTTGTGAAGGCCATCGGTTAACAGAGTTTGACGAGGAGAAAGTAATAATAATAATAATAAAAATACACCGCCTGAGTGAGGAATAGGAATGAAGAATAAGAATTGCGTTTTCTTAGTTACTCGAGAGTGGTATAAACGTTTCGTTATAAAAAAAGAGATACACCGAGCTTGTTTTTCTTAAGGAGAAAAAAATCGATCTCTTGAAAAAAATGACATCGAGATCCGTTCGTCTCCGCCTAAGTTTCGTCGGGACGTGTCTGTGGGTGATGTTGACGATGCGAGAAATTCAAGGATATCCGTACCGACAACTATTCTGGAATTCGTTGTACAACAATCAGATAAGGCCGATGAGCAACGCGGCGCAATTCCCGAGGTACTATCCTTACGTACAGTATCCGTACCGATTCCCGGGCGCGCCGATCCTCGGTAATGTGCAGTGGCAACCGTACGCTTATAATCCTCAGCTTCGAAAGGATCAAAGACCGACGGGTAATGGCCGGTGGATCAATTCGGGAAACGGATTCGCTAGTGGATTCGCGGGCACGATTAATTTTCAACCTGTTATGCCGATGATCGTGTTCCCAACGACACCCCAGCAAGCGACATTTCAGCGAGAACAGGAAACTTCGCGGTGGAACGAGAAAGCAGCGCCCGTTGAGATTGAGAAAAATAAAGAATCGTCGACGGATCGTGTTTCCTCGACGACCGAGTGTTCGGTGTTTCAAGAAACGACGCAGCCTCAACAAGCGGAAGAGAATCTGCGAGAAGAATCTCCGGGCGGGCCGGTCGAGCTGGACCGTGAATCGGTTCCTCCCGCCTGTCAAGGAAATTGCGAAAACGCTGGCAAAGACGATATCTCAATCCTAATTGAGGAAGCCCTGCGGAACGGCGAGTTGTTACGTTCCGACGAGTGGATCAGATGGCAGAACGCGATGAAGCGGAAAAGCGAGCGGCAAGAGGAAGAGGACACGCGAAAGGAATCGACGAGCGGTCCGGCTGAGCTCGACCGTGGACCGGCGTCGTCCTGCCGAGGGGATTGCGCGGATAATTCTGGGAGCGACACCTCGAAGATCATCGACGAGATCCTGGGCGACGACGAATGGCTCGGGAAGCAGGATGCCGCGAGGAGAGACAAGAAGAGGACGAGGAAACCGCCCGACGAGCGGGAGCTGTACTCGGGCCCGGCTCCCGTCTGCAGCAATTCGACGTTCTGCGTGCACGCGACCGACTATCCGGAGGAGCTGGTGAACCGGGCGATCCGGCGGAACGACGGCCTCAGGCTGCTGCAGAGCGTCGACCCGGTGTCCGAGGTCGGCGACAGACTTGAGTTCGACGAGCTGAACGACTCGCCGTTCTGCGGCTCGTACACGCGGCTGATCTATCCGCGATCGGCGGAGACGATGGACCGGCGCTGGCTCTTCGTCGTCAATCAGGACAATCTGCGGCAGGGCGTGCGCATCGAGGTTTGCGCGAAGGAGGGCAGCGTGTGCGGCGACCTCGACGACTATCTGCCGGGCGGTTACAGGGCGTTCTGCAAGCAGAAATACATCTATCGGGAGCTCGTGGCGGTGGACGAAGACGGCATCGTGAAGAAGGAAACCTTTAGATTCCCGTCCAGCTGCTGCTGCCACCGGGAGTTCAGATGATCCGCGACTGAGAGTGAAGCGCGAATGAATGAGGAACGACGAGTCGATCTCTCCACGTTCTTACGCTCAACTACGCCTAATGAATTCCAAAGTAATATTCGAAAATTTATTTTCGAAAGTAACTGTCGAAAGTTTATTTTCAACATGTGCCTGTCGTGTGTCTGTTAGTGTTAGAATTTAACATTTATAATTATTTCGATTACGCTAGTTGTCCGACTCGAGGGACCTTCCGCGGCACAGGAATATTCTATGCACCCTATAGAGCGTCGTAATCTTCGATAAGAAATGTAAAACGAATCCTTGAATCGTCACGGGATGAAAAATGTCGTTCGAACGAGCATTTCGGTGAGGAATGCAATTTCTCGACAGCCTTACGTTTACTTTCGTTTTTAATTCTCTTGCGTCGTTTTTACTGCAGTGATATTTACCGTGCGATATAATCACTCCGAGTAATCTCTAATCATTTACTTTTCCGAGGTCGACTGGGGATAAATGGGACAGCGATCCTTAAAAAATTCCAAACAAGTCATTTTAATTAATTATCGCCGCTTAACGGTAGATTATTAAATCTACAAAATAAGATTCAGGTGATTAGTTATCGATCCTTCGTCATTGGGCGACTCGTTACCATTTAACATTTATCGGAGATCTCAGTCGACCCCGCTCGAATCCCGCGAATCTCTCGTAATTTGTATTTAAATTTTAACCCGTGACCTACGAATGTAATTTTACACGTAAACTGTAAAGGGACGACCTCGGCGATCTTTTTCTGTTTCTGATTGTGAGTCGAAAGGAAAAACGCGACGAGGCTTCTGCGTTTAGCGTAGCGAAGAGCTATTTAGTGGCTTTGTCCGCGAGTCTCTCGCCGTTCTCCGAATGACGACTGAATGAGGCGAGCGTGGTGTGTATAACGTGCTGATGATCCTTGGATATTGCTGAACCAGAACGACGACGACGATGCGCGAAACTCGTCTCGTCGGCCGAACGAATTCTCGACGAGAGAATGGAAGGGAAGCGCGATGGAAATAAATCGCGTTTACGTTACCTATCGGCGCCGGGACTGGACGGGGGTGGGAGCGGGAGGAAAGCACCGTGGAAGAAATATACCGTGTAACTCGAATGCAAATAACGTAACGTCTGACAGGCGGCTCTAAATATCGCGGGTCACGCGAGACCGCGAGAGCGCGTTGTACGCGAGATGCACGCGCGTTATACCTTCTTTCGAATTGAGACACGAATGTGAAGTCTCCTTCCGATATACACTCGGCTGCGTGTACGCCTCGAAACACACCGTCCAGTCCTGTCGCGCGCTGAATTTATACATACACGATCTGACCTGTAGTGAGATGGATGAGAGTTGAAGGGAGGAAGGTTTAAGGAGCGTGTAGAGAGTGGCTGCGTTCGGGGAGACACTATTAGTGCTATTTGTGTCATTCTATCCTTGTTTTATACCTGGTGAACGATAAAGATAGAATGATGACACAGATAGCGTCTCCTCCCAAACGCACCCAGTGCGAATGAAAGAGAGAGAGAGAAAGGAATGAGAAAGCGATTATCCAGATTGTATTGATCCGCCACTTTGTAGCTTAATTCCTTAAGATAAGCCGGCCGGGATCTCGCGGGAGCGTCTCCGCTGCGAAAGTCGCGTCTCGTTAAGAAGTCGACAGAAGCGAGTAACAGGATGGAGGGACGTCTAATCTCTCTCTCTATGCGGCACGATTATTATAACGGAGAGTCCAGGGTTTATTTTCTTACGGCACACATTTCTGTCGCGCGCGATCGACTTGCGGCACCACCGCTCATAAATATTCGCCGTTTACAACCGCGCCGTACAACTTGCAACAGTCTCCTCCGCACATTCCAGACCGCAGCTCCGCCGTAGAATTTTCGGTTGCGCTTATCTACGTTGATCCGTACATCAAAAAACGTTTCTTTTTTCACGTCTGCGTTATCGCCTTCTCTTTGAGAAACACGAGAAAGGGATAAACGAATATTTGTGAGCGGTGTATCTTTTGAACGGCAAGCGCGCGACCTGCGCGAGAGCCCGGCGTATCTCGATCGTTGGGCAGCTCGAGTCACACCTGATTGCCTGATTGCGATATTGAACGTTGCTCTCCTTCTCACGAACACACACACGAGACACACTACATATGCGTACACACATGCACACACATACTCTCCTTCTTCGATTCACGCTATCGTTGAACGAGCCTGTGGCCGGTACGACTTCGTGATACGCGAAGGAACACCCGTGAAATCGACATCGCATTCTGTGAAACTGTCAAAAGGTCGACTTTTTGACAGGCACATTTTACCTCCCCCACCCCCTGCAGAGACTGCCATTAGAGTTATCGTTAAGATGATAATTAACCAGGTATAGGGGAATTGAGCTCGCTTTATCCCTCTTCCACGACCGCTGCTCTTTGAGATACATATATTCGATTTTGGTCATTCAGATATTCGAATATTATTGATTCCCCGCGTTAAAGCGGCCCTCCTCTCGCATATCATTCGATATATTATTATTGCATCGTGATCCCGCGATCCGTATAGCGTCGCATCGGTGCGCAGGATGGGACGGCGGAGTTGCACCGGGCAACTCTCCGTCCAGGAGCTCCCCCGTGTCGCGCTTCTCGTATCCGCAGGCCCGCGAAGGGTGGCTCGGTTGAAAAGAGAAGGTTAAGCGCATCCTGCATTGTGACATATCATTTATTCTCGCGCAATATTATTATAGACGGCAGAGGAAAAGGAAAAATAGCTGCGCGCAACGCCGCACCCGATCACCGTGCGGGGACCGTTTAAGGGGGACAACTGTGATAGCCGCGTCCAGCTTCGAGAAGGAGCAACGTTCCACTCCGTTCTATTTGCGTCTGTTAATTAATTCGTCTCCTGCCTGATTCGCGCGCACGACGAGATAGACGGGAGACGCGACGTCTCCACACAACACAGTATCGCCGAGGAATTTCGTAAAGCGACGTAAAATAACTTCTGTTTCGTCTACCGAGAGTTTATCGAGGGTCTCACTTGCCAGCGTTATTTGTTCTCTTTTTTTTTTATCGTTCAAGCAACGCCTTCCCTCTTTGAACTCTCTTTAAACGTTTTTCCGTCTGCGGACAAGACACTGCAAAAAAAAAATCAACGGATAATCCTTTTTTCTTTGATCGCAAAATCAAATTTCTAATCCTCGTAGTTTTGAATTCTAGTCCTTCTTTCCAAAAGAAAAGGAAAAAGCGGAATGTCGAACGTGGAATAGAAAAAAAGTATCCAATGTGTATACTTTTTACGAATTTATAGGTTTTATGAATTTTAAATAAATTATCTCGGATGGATTTCCGGATTCCCGGCGAATCCCCCGATCTTTTTTTCCTCATGTATCCGTCGCAGGATCGTTTAAAAATGTATAATATGTCGTCGTCGCGTTGTACATTTGACGCGTATACGAATATACTTTAGAATCGAGCAGCCCGACGATCATGATCTTCAATTCTATATATATATATATATATATACATACATATATATATATTTCTTGTATGAGCAATCGCGTCCGTGGCGTGGAAAAACAGGCGAAGATAACTTTGCGTGACGAAAATGCAAAAGAGAAGTCGTTTTTACATTACTCGTTTCGAATAACGAAACTGGATTTTTGGCTCGCAGTTCTTTTCTTCCGCGGCATGGACGCGATATTTTATGAGAATACGAGAGAAAGAAAGTGAGAGAATGAGAGAATGGACAAGACGTTGTGCGACATGGAATATCGAGCCTGAGACTGTATAATAATTATAAATAAATGTATACGTTAAGACCAAGAGAAGGATAGATCGTCGCAATACATTTCCTTTTGATAATATTTAATAATGCTCGATCGATTTCTTGATATTCTGATCGGTGTCTACAACCGATTATATATATTTTATAATATTTTACGTTTCCTCGTAATCGCTTCCTTCTCTTCCTGTAGGATTTAAAATCTTTGCACTTATTTAATAAGAGATCTTTAATAAAAATTAAGTCTTAGCTAATCGAATCAACGTTTTATTAAAAACAATGATCAATCTTACAAATGCTCCGAAATGGCACCAATATATCCTAATACACAGATTCATATGACGACAGGGAGACACATATGTGTATATATTTTTTAGCAATCATAGCACAGGTATACATGGTGTATTTGTCGCGTGAAATAAAAAAAAAGTAATATCGAGTAGCAAGAGAGAGAAAAATTCGACTAAAATGTTTTAATTGGTCCAAAACATTGAGGTGGGTTTAAATCGGGTTTCGGACGATTGTCTCGTGACGAGATTTGTGAGGGATAACTACGGTTAAATACAATGCAGTAACAAGAATAGTACTTTACACGAACCACGCGATGTGTCGTTTTGTGCTTTACGTTTCAACAACGGTTACACTCGGTGCGATTTTTATGACGAAGGCGGGATGAGCATTATCGACGATATCCGATTGATGAGCTGTTACGTTAAGTTACAACTCGATTCTACCTAACAACATTAAAATCCTCAACTAAGGTTCGCGGACTCGTTTCCACTCAGTGAAACTCTTTGGCTCGCGTTTGTTGGCAGTTTGCGTGCCTTTCCGAGGAAAACTTTCGAAAGCGACTTCACGAAACAAACAAAAAATTTAGTCCTAATTTTTAGTCGATACAAATATGGTTTCTGTGAATCAGCCGTTGTTTAACGGCAGTCGACATAGTAAACTATTATTTCTCGATGTAATTTTCCTCTTTAAATCAATTTCTGCCTAGTTATCAAAGAAATGGCGTGCGATACGTCATAAAATCAGGTAACATACATCAGTAATTGCGACTGTGCACCAGAAGGAACTACCTTCGAAAGTAATCGATAAATTAAGCTAAATCGGTGCAAAATAGCGCAAGCGTATCCTCTGTTTTATGACATATCAATTACCAGCAAAAGTTTTCCCGGGAAAGAATTGCGAGTGCAAGAATGCGCGTTGCATTCGCTGCACCGTCTCTCGTTTGCTCACACGCGACTAGAATATCTATTTCCCTCCTATGTGATGAGCTATCGTTTCTAGAGGACAAAGAGAAAAGCATTACACTCGGTGCGCGAAGCATACGCGTCTCGCTCGAATGCGCGATGCTGTCTTCGACGAAAAAAAAACCCCCCACTGCGCGTCTTCCAACCTCTGTCTGTACCAAGTGCTGAATTCCACGTGACTGAAGCAGCACGCGCGTCTGCGAATCGAGAACATGATTCTTCGGGCGTCACAAGCAAGAGCGTTCGCGCTCTCAACAGAAGAGCACGCCGCGAAAATTGTACGAGATTGCAGATCGCCTGATGCGATACAGGTGCAAACCGCGAGCTCTCATACTGGACGTTGGAGGTGTATATAGCTCAACCCGACATACGCCGCCTTGCCGACTTCGGAATAACGTCGTCCGCTGTGATGGACCGTCGCGCAGACATATCTTTCATGATCGAATGGATTTACTTCTCAAGTTGACCGCTGATTTTGCTGTGATGGTGAATTGTCGATGGGATTTCCTTTAGCAGAGCCTTCGCATACGACGCTGGTGCGACGACTGCATCTGCTTCAACGAGAACATGCTCATGGACAATCCGAAGGTCGCGAGGAAGATTGCGGATGTCGCCGTGCTACGGTCGAAGCTCCTGCTCCTGTAGAAAGCTGGAGCGGCTGTCTGGAAGGAGAAATCATTATAAGAAAAGCTTCATCGAATTAAAACATCGGTCTTTTTCGCGCGATTCTCTTCTCCACATTTATACAGAAAAATCTATGGTAAAATATAATTTTATATCTGATTGACAACATCCTTGATTGTAATACAAATTGTCTATAATGTAT